GATAGTGTTTCTATTTTGAAACTTATCGTGATATATTCATAGGGATGTATCTGCTCAGTGCGGCCGATCGCTTGTAAGTACTCTCGAAGTAACTGCGGGATGCCACTCCTATATATTATGCTAATGCTTTTTGTAATACCATACAATCGATAAGTAATAAAGGAGATAAAGGCAAGATGGCCTAAGTGGAAAAAAAAAAATAAAATAAAATAAATCATTTGTTAAAATGTTTCAAAATTAGCTTATTATTAACAACTTTTAGGTTTATTACTCCATTATATGATATTGCTAATTATTTGGTACAGATTCACAATAATTGTAGCTATATATACTATCCAAGATGTGCTAGTAGTATCAGATTGCTATAAAATATAGACATTATAATAATTATCACTATTTAGTACAAAAGCACTTTCCAACCAATTTTCAAGAGTTTTTTCTATATATTCTTATATGTTTCTGAACATTATCTCTTCTTGTTGTTTACAACTCTCATAATTATAATTATTCCAATACTGGTTAAAGTATTTAAACCTTTATTACTTATATTTACAGAATTTAAATAATATACTAAATCAAATTTATAGAGTTAATTTTTAATTGGTGATTCGCCACTCAACAAGAGAAAGCTCATAGTGTAATATAACACAGTTTATATATAGAAATTAAAGTTTTTGAAATATGAACTGCTTCTATTTAAAACTTTTTTTCGTACTAAGTTAATCACTTTTGGACTTTTAATTAAAGTTGTAGAGCTTGTTGAGATGAATTTAATAGTAGTTGAATCATCAAAATCGGTTTAATGGATCATAAGATATCTTCAAAAAATGTTTTGCTAATTATATAAACTTCTCTTTTAACAATACTAATTTCTATATATAAACTACGTCACATTACACTATGAGCTCTCTCTGGTTAAGTAATAAATTACTAATTAAATTATTTAGTGATACAAAAAGATAATACAAAAAAACTATTAATTTTTTCATATGCCTTATTGTCTTCTCACAACACTTAAATGGCTGAGCTAGCAAATAAAATTGATTGAAAAAATCCTTCAAGCTTGAATTAATTTGTAGAAGTAATTCTTGTATTTCATCAAATAAATATATAGATCCTTCTTTTTGCATATATTCTTTTTTATAAAAGATCCTTTTCATTGTCTTTATAATCCCAACAAGGTTAATTATATATATCTCTTTCTCATTAATAGTATTTAATTCTTTTTCAATCATAGTATTTATATCCTCTTCATTGATATTTTCTAATTCTTTATTCATTACATTTTTCTTAATTATAATATTAATTTCTTCTTTAATTATATCATCTTTTTCATTTTTATATATAACTTCTTTGGCTTAAATTTTTTCTACTTCTCTTGTAGCTTCTATTTTATTTCCTACTTTTTCAACTAACTCTTACTTGTTTAGTATCTTTTTTAATTCTTTGTAATAAATTTTCTACTAAATCCATATAATATTTATAATATAAAATAACATCAGCTTTCTATGTTATTTTTACTAAACCATTTCTTTAGTCTGTTTTTATTTTTCGTCTTTTATCAAATAAAATTTTAACTCAATAGCTCTGCATTCTTCACATTACTTGTTGCTTTTAAACTTGGTTTTGTTAGACATATTGAATATAAAGGTAGCAGAATTAAAAAAGATTAAGCAGATATTGTTATAATACAGTATGAAGGCTTCAAGTTTGCTTAAAAAGTTTGCTCACATTTCTTAGAAGGGATAGGTTACCCAAACTGCTTAAAAAAGTATTGTAAAATGTATAAAAAAATTTCGTTGACACTTGTGTAACCTATCATAATCAATTTTTAATTTGGGATGTTCGCCCTAAAACTTATATCTCATGATCCACTAGGCCAATTTTAATGTTTAAACAAACATTTTGATTGCAAAACAATCCTTTACAAGTTTACTTAGAAGTCAAAGTGAGGTTTACTTAGTAAAGAAAAAGTTTTCTTTGGGAAACTTCAGATTCCAAAGACAATAAAAAATATATAGTAAATATATCTCCACTGTTTACTATGTTTTGACATTGGTTCTTAGTCGGATCACAGATTAACCTTTTCAAGTTGCTTCTTGTACTTTCTACTATCCTTCTCAAAGACATTCAGAAGAATAATAAGAGCTTTCTTGGTTGATACAAACATTCTAGAAACAATTGAAAAAGGATTAGCTAATTACAATAGTTTGAATAAAATCATGCATCATACTACATATTAACTCGTCTACATTGTTTTCGGTGTCTTTTTTTGGTGAATCAATTGCTATATCAAATTATTAGATTATAGGTTGCATACGATAATAATACATAAATCTATTTATCAACATTGCGACGAAATCAGAGCATTTTGACTCACTATGAAGTGTGTCATTTACTATTTGTTGCTTGACATTTCTTATTGTAAAATCATATAGATAATGTCTAACCCATCTTCCTGTGAAAAGATGGGTTAGACGTTATCTATATGATTTTACAATAAGAAATGTCAAACAACAAATAATAAATGATGCACTTCATAGTGAGTCAAAATGCTCTGATTTCATAAATTCGCCGTGATGTTAGTATCATAATACCTCTCAATAATAAATGAATAACAACAAATATATTAGCGATCATAAAAGCAAAGATGACAAATGATAATTTCTAAAAAATGTAACGTTGAAAACGATTTCAGAAGTTAAAAGAAAGTGACAAAGTGCGAAATATGCCATTGCAGACCAGCCAGCCAAAAAAAGTGCATGTTGGAAGGATTGCGACAAATGTGAGCCACTTAATGGGGGCGATAAGAGTAATGCAAATGAAATAATTTTTGCGAAAATGTCTGAGAGTTGGCAGAAATTTATGCTTTTTATACTCAAATCAACAAAGTAATTACTTGTGGTGTATAACGATAATACGTTAAATTAGCAAACACGTATATATGGTTTGGTGAGCGTATAAAGTAATATATCATGTATAGCAATAGTTGCCAAATTAAAACCAGTAATTGATCATACCGATACGTAGTAAATTTCTTAGTTCAGTTTCAGGTTTTAATTTGGCAACACTCATTTAAAATTTATGTAAACGTGACGCTAAAGAAAACTCGATTTCGGGCTTTAAAACTTATAACCCTCGCCGGCATTGAACATTTAGATAAATTAGTAAAAAAAAAAAAAAAAAGGTGTTTATCACGATACTGTAATAATGTGTTAAATTTTTTTTTGTGTAATATTAGCGGTTACATATTCAACCGTTTTGACCCGGTTGAATCGTTTTGACACGGGTGACCCGGTTTACTAAAGCCGGTTTTAAACTCTATCCCGTTCCCGTTTTTTAGTAACTTTCCAGCCATCACAAATTGCTATAAATTTGCAATACAAAAAAAGATAATTTTTTTTTAAAAAAACGCCAACTTCTTTTAAAAAACGGACGACTTTATTATTTATTTCGGGCCAAATATAACGGACACAACTTTAGGAAAAAGTCGTTATTTAAGGTACATACCATTGATAGATTCATAATTTCTAGTCATAATTTCGAGATCTTGCAAAATTTGTTTAGTCAAAACATCTAGACTGGTCAAACTCGCGCGAAGTTGTCGAAGGGATTGCAATTCCTATCGTAAAGACTTATAACTTGGTGAACGCGTAACTAACAATTAATTGCGCAAATAATTGTATCAATGACGTTATAAATACTTGTTGAGAATCAACGTTGGCGTTTGAATTGTCAGACATGATTTGAAAGATGAAAAACAACCAGATAGGATCTAATTTATCTAATTTATATCAATTTGCAAATCAGTCAAATCATCACCGGATAATTATAAATACAGGTTTTACCAATGTAACCGTTTTTACATTATACAGCTTTACAGTAAAAAGGTCTAAATGCTATATATAATATATAGAGCATTTAGGCCTTTTCTACTGCAAAAACCCTATATAATGAGATAAACCCTGGGATCTAAGCTTCTTTTCTCGATTCCTTTCTCTTATTTCATTACTAATCTGTTCTTTATATACCCGTTTCAGAAATTCGACCTCTTTATCTTCTGGCGATTTGGACTATATGAATAGATGATGCTCCGTATAGAGTATTTGTCTCTTGACATATATCAAAGTTTGAAGTGTCATCAGTTATATCAGATGCAGGAGTATCATCCTCTAACGATTTTATAACAAGATCGGGTATATTAACATCATTTTCAGATGAATTATTGCCATCTTCTAATCCATCTACAACATTGCTTTGCTTTTGCTCCAAATTTGCAAATCGCTCTTATTTTCTTTTGCCATCTCTTAACTTTGCTTTCTCAGCACTTTCTTCTATAATCTGTTTTAGCTTAGTCCAAGTGTATTTTTTTCTTTTACTATTTGTTCTAATTCTAGCCATAAGCCTAGCATTTTCCAGTTTTAATAAACCAACTTCGGATAAGTCATTAGATTCGCCTTTTTGAGTTTGCATGTTTAATATAATTTAGAAATGGTTTGGAAAAGAATTTTATTATAAACCTTGGAAAATGTTTTTTATTAGTTACTGTGTTTATTTCTAATAAAAAAATCGCGTGTGTGAGCAAATTGTTCATGCCGATCACTTTTGCCAAGAGAAAATAACAATAACAAAATACACATGTAGAAGTAAATTGATTATTTATGTCAAATTAGCCACCAGGACCAACTTTATTGATATAAAAAATAAAAATAAATTACAGGAATAAAATCAACCTTTTTTCAATTCTCCACTTTTTTTCTTATTTAATCTTTCTATTCACGTGAAGGACTTCTTTCACTAACCTTTCTTGTCTTTTTTTGAGTACTGTTGATTAAACATTACAAATTTGCGATTTAACCATTCTGCAAATTAATTTTTTTTTTTTTTTGAATATTAATGGTGAGACCATGTCTCTGTCTTTATTGAAATTTAATTAAAATCTTTTATAC